TAAAAAAAAAGGACGTTAAAAAATTCGATGCAGTCTCAAGCAAGTCTCTGAGTCTGTTGCTTGTTTGTTAGAATCCAGAATTCTAGCTCTAGCCTCTATGCCTGCTGTATGTATATTGATATATATATTGTATAAAGCTTGATGTTTAAGAGTATGAACAATGTAAAGCTAAAACATAAACTAATTACACGATTCCTTGTCGGGTGGAAAACGAGTTAACTATTAGATCTAGATCTAGAATCTAATTACAATGATCAATGAAGACTAAATCCCGTGAGTCGAAGTAAACACTGCACTGGTTATCGCCCGGTAGAGGTCAGCCGTCTGAAAAAAGCTACCTTCAAAATGTGAAGAAATACCACTCTCGGGTGATTCCATTTACCTACAATAGGGGGGTTGTAGCATGGAGTACGTAGTCATCAATGGAAATTTTTAGAGTTATGGAAAAGATTCATGAAAAAACGTTATGTTTTATTCTATTTATAGCTAAATGTACACACTTTTTGTTCACTGAAACTGTCCGATCACATTATATAGGCACCTAAATCTTAAAAACAGTATTTATATATTTCATTTTCTAAATTATCGAAGCATGGACACACCCCTCTCACACCTCCAGATTTAACCAATCGCAAGTGAGACAAGGTTTACTTGGTAATGTGGGGCTAGAACATAACCGTATCATCAGTATCAGTAAACAAAGAAAAGATAAATAGTAGGCCTATGAATTAATGTAAAGTACTTCAATGCCTCGTTGTACATATGTAGGCATAATGATGAAAAATTAATATTATATTTAAAAAATAATATGATATTAAATGTAAGGCTAACTAAATTAAGAAACAAAGCAAAGCTCAATCAAAGAAATCGCTTTTTTTTCTTAATGCCGCTAAAACTAAAGCCATTGTTTTTTGTTTTGTTTTTTATAAAGATCTAGATATAACTTACTGAAGAGGCGTAAGCAGGGGAAAATGTGTGTGTGGTGGGGGCGCTCCAATTGGACACTTTTTCGGAAAGTGACGCTTTTTGGAGATTAATTCTTAAAAAATTAAAACACGTTTTAACTACAAAAATAACACCCGCGCCTTTGAGTATACTACGAGATTTAAAATGTTAACATATTATTATGATGTAATTTGGGTCGTTATTAGAATGAGGCTGTCAGTTGCACATTTAGTTACACATAATTTTGCGTTTTCTAAATGCGAAATCATCTATTTTCTTTGAGCACTTTTTTCTTTGTGCGCACTTTTTCTATTTGCGCATTTTTGTATGCTCATTCAATATGGGTGTGGGTGGGGTCTGTTTGATAAATTTAATTTATAGGTCCAAATGTGTGTATGTATTTGAAATTTGTTTCATTTTAGCAGTGGCGTAGCGAGGTCGGGTATCACCCGGTGCGGTACTTAATGGTGTCACCCCCAGAGGCGCAACGACCCTTCCCGGGGACAAACTTTCGATTTTCGATTTACACCCCCCCCCCCTCAAACTTTCGATTTGCACCCCCCCCCAAACCTTAGATTTGCACCCCTGCCCCCCCTCAAACTTTCGATTTTCACCCCCCCCCACCTCTTAAAAGGCTATTTAACACTCTAATTAATCACTCTATTAAGTGGAATTATCATTTTTCTCTATATATTTTGCTATTTTTTTGCCTTGGTGACACCATTTAGGGGGTTGACACCAAGGCAAAAATAAGCAAAATATATATAGAGAAAAATTTGAGGGGGGGGGGTGCAAATCGAAAATTGAAAGTTTGTCCCCGGGAAGGGTCGCTACGCCTCTGGGGGGGGGGGGGGTTAAAACCATTAAGTGCCGCACCGGGTGACACCCGACCTCCCTACGCCCCTGCGTTGGAGTATTTATTTTATGTTGCATACTAAAGTTGTAAAGTTTTAAGAAAATCAATCGGAACAAAAAAATTTGAATAGTTTCTGACTGGTCTCTAGTTCAAATAAAACAAGAAGTCTATTACAAAATTAAATTTAAAAAACAAAACACTTTATAATAATAAGCTTTTACATGCACTGAGAATTAGAAAGAAAACGAATATGCTTTTTTCCCCCAATAAAACCATTTGTCGCCAAAATGTGTAGGAGATTTCACAGACGACCATTTGCTTCTATTGACCCCCCCCCATATTTTCGTCACAGTGTAGCTCTATTTTTCGATAAGTTAATCAACTAGAAATCTAGGCCTAATACTAATGTTGATTGAATAAATGTCCCTTGAGTGAAAAATAAATGAAAGTACAATGGGCGACAACTCAAAAATAAAACTCTTTTACAAGTTTGGCATTTATTATTCCTCTTTATCAAGACTCAGGGGAGACAACATATACAAATAGGTTGGGGTTTCTTTTGGTATGCAGATAAAGTCAAGAAACACCCCACAAGCAGTTTTTTTTTAAAAAGACATTTTTCTCGGGGTGGGGGTCAGTGTTTCTTCCAGACTTTTTTCTCCGGGGGGGGGGGGGGGGGGGGGGGAGAGAGGAAAGAGAGAGCAGACACAGGTCGAAGTGTATATTTTATATATTATTTCTCCTTCGTTCTATCCCCCCCCCCCCACCCGAGAGATGCCCGAAATGAACTCAGCTCACAAGCGGTGTTTCTTGAGTTTGGGGGGACACTGTATACATTATATACATTATATTATATACATTATATTTTATTTCTATCTAAAATATTTTTTTTTCTTCTATTTTTGATTTGAAATAAGAGAAAGTTGAGATACGAAGAGATCCATGGGCAGTTTTTTTTTTAACGGCTGTAGGTACATGTGAGCAGCGGCGTAGCGAGGGGGGGGGGGGCACATGTCCCCGGGCGCCGAAATCTTGAGGGAGGGGGGGGGGTCGAAAATCGAAATCTTGAGGGGGGAGGTGCAAATCGAAAGTTTGAGGGGGGTGCAAATCGAAATCTTGAGAGGGGGTGCAAATCAAAAATTTGTCCCCGGGCGCTGGGAAGGGTCGCTACGCCTCTGCATATTGCGAGGAAAGTTCAGTGTATTCCAGTACACTTATAAAGAGTAGCACTGAGTAATATTAGTGAATGAACCGCCAGCATCTCACATAAGCAGAAGCTGGTTGATGTCCAAGGTAAAAACACTTTATAATCTTTGTCTACAATATTTTTCATTAATAATTACATCATTGTACTTGTTACTACGAACTGAATGGCATTCAGGCAATGTTTATGAACCAGAGTTTCTTTCAGGCAGGGCTCTGTATGTGTTTGTGTTTGTTTGTGTGTGTTAAAAAGATGGGGGGGGGGGGGGGCGAAAGCACGTTTACCGCCCCAACTCAGAATAAATAGAATTTATATATATAATATATACTAATACTTCAACCTGTGTCTGCGTCCCCTGGGAAATTTTAGTCAGCCCCTCCCCATTATTTTCGATTATCTTAATTCGTATCTTGATGTACTTACTGTACTGCCCTAGTATTAACAATTATCCCATTGGGTACAAGTGTGGAGTGTAAAAATGCCATAAAAGTTTTCTTATTAGACACAGAGGCGTAGCCAGGGGAGGGCGGGGAGGGCGGCCGCCCCGGGCGCCGACCCTAGGGGGGCGCCAAAAGCTGCATTTTTTAATTATAAACAGTCAAAGTAAAGAAATTTAACGGCTGAGAGCCTTTGCATACTGATTTAACTGCTTTCTACCTTGATTGTGTAACTGTAAAACGTATATCTTTAAGAAACGATGACCGGAAAAACCGCTTTCCAGCTTTCCTAGATGGGGGGGCGCTTTTTCGAAGACTAAAATCGGAAAAATTCACAACGGATTAAGGAATAAATAACCGATATCACTCAGAAAAGAAACCCATTTAACTAAAGCGTATTTTACGATTGTGTAACATAATAAAGAGTGACGTTTAAAATCCGCTCTACCATTTTTGTCCAAGATGGTGGGACGCTTTTTCACTAACTAAAATCGCAGGATTTGTACTAGATCGGTTGCTAACACTTAATGTACGATTTCACTACCCAGTTTTGCTAAGTAATAACGCGACTCTCAACGATTCTCTCAACTTGATCGTGATAGATCAGATACTTTTACTTGATTGCATTACATCTTGCCTGGATCACTGCATTAAAGAGAAATAAATATAACGGATTCTTGTATCGCTATCCGATCAGTAAAATAGCAGACTGTTGGAGCGGGTGGATGGGAAGCGACACTCTTTGCCAAAATTTTAAGAGAGAAGAAAATTAGTATATTGTACTGATTATTACTTTGTTCAACCTAACTGATAATTCAAAATTGCAATATTAGCCTACTAATATCAAAATTGTTCTAAAGACACGACCAAAAGTAGACCAAATAAGGCTTGCACCTTCTACAAAATACACTCTAAAGCAGTGGTTCTTAACTTTTTGGAGTATCGAACCCGACCAGTTTCATATGCGCAATCACCGAACCCTTCTTAATAGTTGTATCGTCCACAATGACAAAATCCGATCGTGAATCCTATGAGTCGGGTGTGTGTCTTGAGCTCCGCGGAAGCCCTGAGACTGAATTACCGAACCTCACGGGTTCGATGGAGCCCACTATTCTAATCTCTTTTGATTTTTTTTCTACTTTTTATTCGTTTCGGCATCTTAAGGGGAATTTGATTGGCGTCCATTGAAGTTTTAGGGAACGACAATCAGCGTAATTGTTAATTTTTTTTCCCAGACTGTCGCACACACAAACACACACGCATAGTATATATATATATATATATATATATATATATATATATATATATATATATATATATATATATATATATATATATATATGGGGGCGCCAAACTGAAAGTTCGCCCCGGGCGCCGGCAAGGGTCGCTACGCCTCTGATTAGACACGACACATTCATTTGTGTTTTAATGCATGCAGCGTGTTGTACTGTGGCCATTAAAAAAATATTTTTTTTGGGCCTAGTCAAGACTCTAGAACCCAATGTTTTTAAATAAATGGACTAGGCCTAGGCCTTGCTGCATTCATACACTTTGCGGTGATTTTCGTTGAGTCGTTATATTCGGTAAAACGGGACCCCTTGCAAAATAGGAAATAGAACCCCACGTGTGTTTCCTTTTTGAGCCGTGATCGCGAAGGTAAAGACGATATTTATCATGTAGAGAAACAATTGTTGTTATTAAATGGCATTCTTTGAAATACACAACCATTTCAGTAAAAACAAATGAGTTTCCTTCTCAGCATTGATCTTATAAATACATATTCACAGTTTACGATAATACTTAGAAACTGTGCCGCTTAGAAATCATTGACACCAGTGAGAGAGGGGCCTGGCTTGAAAATGTATTTTCACCAACAGTAACTGACGTGCTTCATTTAATCATTTTAATGAAACGTTATGATGTTCAAATTATTAAGCTTTCTACAATTACATTTGAGCTGCTAATGTTTTATTGATGTACACTTGTATAAATTATTAGGTTGTCTTATTACAATTTTTTAATTAAAATTTTCTGTCACTTATCATATATCATTACAAACCATATCACTTACTGGTTAATTTGAGATCAAATTTAATGGTCTAGCTTAATTAGGGGCCGAGAAAACAAACAAAAACAAAATGACCTATTAACATCTTAAAATGCGAAACTCTTTTTCGCCATCAAAAGATATCAAAAAGTTACGTTGGTTTGTGTTTTCCATTCGTAGCATGATGTCATAGCAATTACGACAACATTGGGTATTTTAGTTACCAAAAAAAACCAAAACATTTTGTTAGAAATAAAACTTTATAGTCATTATGTTTATTAAGGAAATATCAGACATATTTATTATAAATTCTATGTACAATGTACAATTTAAGACATTAGGCATTCCATGATGAATTGAACAATCAATACCCATGAAGATGACAATAAAATTAATATCCAAAACTAAAAATAGATCTGACAGAAATCTAGATCTAGTCCTTCTAACTGTAACGACAATACAGTATTATTAGGTAAGATGATAAATAAACTTTTTTTAACTTTAAAATTAAATACTCTATAATTAATATTCTCTTCTGTAGTAGCATTAGGTTAGGCGAAGTTTTTTTTTTTTTTTTTTTTTTTTTATACCAGCTATGCGTAGTAAATCTACAGTCCTGTAAGCTTGCGTGAACTTAAAATGACCCTAAGTTGATTTACAATTTGCTTGGTTTATGAGGGGAGGGGTGGGATTGCCCACCGACGATCTCTACCAGCAATAGTTAATGCTGTGACGTATGTATGGTAGGCCTGCTGAACTCACGGTGAACCCTCGACCGTATCAACATTTTTCTCCCGCAGACAAGAAAATGTAAGCAGTCGATCTCGCGAGCGATGCGAGCGACGATGTTTGGAAAATTTTGAATAATTATTTTATAAAATATTATTTCGTTCAAAAAAATTTTTTTTTGAAAAAGAAAGAAAATAAATCCGCTCGTGGCATTTCCCATGTGAAACAATAAAATAAAGCACAACTGATTTACGTCGGATTCGAACTCGGAGATTCTAGGTCACCTACCGCACCGTTCTGTTTACTCTGCCACACACCACGATATATTGGAAAATAAAATATTAGACATTTTGTATCAAAAGATTGCTAAAACTAAAAGGAAATAATTACTACTTCTTTTATTGATATCATTCTACGTAGTAACTGAGTAACTGCGTAAATTTTACACACAATACCTATATTTTTAACTGACACAACAGCATTAACGAGGTTGACCAAGTCTAAAATTAAAAAAAAAGCCAGTAGGCCTAATTAGATCTAGCACAAAAAGGCTCGGAATGAGCATTGTTTAAAATACAATACTAAGGCCTAATTAAAAACTACATATAATTTCATATAAATTATACAGTCGGGTAGGCCACGAAGTATTAATATTAACAAGGTTAATGACCGGTCACGAATTATGTTCAATGAAACTAACAGTGCAGTCGGCCTACTTGGCTTGCAGTGAAGAAAAAAAATCAACATACTTATAAAATTACTAATACTTTAATACAATAATAATGCCCACAATTTCTGCACATGCTAAAACTGAATTATAATTAAAATACTAGACTTAACAGTGCATTCCGCAAAAAACAAAAATTAGTTGTTTCTATCTGACAACTAGCGTAACAATGGCGTAACGTTGCTAAAAATAGCAGCGGCATGGTATTTCTATGGGGAATTGGATTTAGGAAGAAGGGAAGCAGCATCATTGTAATTAATCATGGTAAATATCTCAAATATATAAATATCTAGGAGCTGTCGAGCGCTGATGCCCGGAGGTCGGTCGTTTTTCGTTGCAGTTCAGTTCCTAATGAGAGTGCTCCATAAGAAATGCTTGTATTAATTATTACTACATATCTCGCAAATGTTACTGGCATTTAAGCCATAGTATCCATTTCCTTAGCATTTCGCATTAAAATAGTGATGAGATATTGCTAGATTAGCAGTTTTTTCGTTTTTTGTATATAGGACCCCCCAAAAACACTTAAAATGCGAAAACTAAAAGAGCATGACGTTTCAGGGTCAGGTTCTGTCTTCCGGTTTTGGTAAGGAGATCGACTATAAATTATGCTTTCTAAATTTAGTAGGCCTAACGTTGAAAGAAAATAGTTTTTCTCTAGTTTGAATGAATAGTTTTAAGTTTTGGCCTAATTAAATTAAGGCAGATGCTAGCCCGAAAAAGATACGCATGCGCAATGGAGAGAAACTACGACTTGCCATTGCGGCGATGTTTTTGATGGTACTGCGCATGCGTGTTTTTACAACAGCAGAACCCTAAACGCTTAACAGAACACCAACCCTAATCCTATCCCCAATACACTATACAGTAACACTAGCCCTAATCCTAACCCTTATTCTAGCCATAGGTCACTGCGCATGCGCAGAGCTATCTTTTGCCGACTAAGCGGAGACGTTGGGGAGAAAAATCTTCAGCGTAGTCACTTCGTTAAATTGTTGCTTCAAATAAACTGTCTTGTTGCTGATTAAGCCCAGTTCTATAAAGGGGAGAATGTTAACACCAGTGTCTGATAATGGAATCTTCTTTAAAAAAGGGGTGTTAGGTTACTGGTAGTTAACTAAATACACACATGGCTGGCTAATGTCAATGCTAACCCTGTCCCTAACCCCAACCCTGGTCCAACCATACGCCTAACCCTAATTTCTATCCATAAAATTAGTCGAGATTACAATACTACTAACAACCCAACACCCCTATTTTAAAGATGATTCCATTACCGGACACTGGTATCTATAATCATCCCTCTAGTCTTCTTATCTGCTGTACGCATGTCCATTTCTAAATACATCCAGATAAAATTTTGTTTTCTCCATCTGTAAGAATTTTAAATATTTCAAGTTTCGAGTTATGACTTTGGAGATGAGTCACGTCCCCCGACTAAAGCACTAGGTCCTGGATTAGACAAAAAAAAACAACCAAAGCTTTTATAAATAGGTTAAATCAGGGTTCCCACGCAGCCGGGGAAAAAACAGGAATTTCAAAATGTAAGTTCCCGGCTGGGAATTCTGATGAATAGCCGGGAAATATCTTTTAAAAACCGGGAAATCTTGTTCCCGATATTTTTTTCCCTTCAGGGTGTCGCGAGATTGAACCGGGTATAAGCCTATCCAATCGCCAGTCTCGCCACATCCCGTGACCTAGTTTTGGCGTACAAAACTAGTCTCGTCGTACCTCTTTACCGTCGATCTGTTTTCCGCCCGTCACTCAAGCTTTCAAGGTACATCTGCTAATGTGCTATGCTAGCTTAGGGTTACCCAACATTGGCGTGACATAATTTTTTTTTTTTTAGGATTGGTTTAAAATTTAGTTTAGGCTACACATAATTTTTTTTTTTTGCTAATCTGAACTCGCAGTGTAGTCTAGAGATGTAACTATGTAAACTTTATTAAAGGACTAGGATCGCGCGCGAGTACAGTCTTGTTTAATATTATCACTTATGTTCAGTGTTTCTTCCAGACTTTTTTCTCGGGGGGGGGGGGGGGGCACTGTTAAAAGTATATATTTTCTGAGAAGAGATGTCTGGAAGAAACTCTGCCTATGTTAATGATAACCGCTCTAGCAGACTATTTCACGGACCAGTGGTACTGAATTTGTGAGAAACATAGATTTAAAAAAAATACTTTGCCAACAATGTCAAATGCGTGTGGGTCAACTACAATTATTTCATGGGGAGGGGAGATACTAACAACTGGAGTAAATAGGGCTTTCTTGAACTCACTGTGACCCCAAAGAAAATTTCTCTACATTTTAACAATCTGCAGGTTTTTTTTTATCTCGGGTCTTGGCCAAATAAGAAATAAATAAATGTACATAGGCCTATGCATGAATATAAATATTAAAACTTGTAAACATTTGACAATTTTAGTAGCATTATTACTATTCCACTGACATAAACATCAGATGTTTTCGGGTGCCATCGAACTGAGCACTACAAAGATCTAGATTTCTAAGTCGCCTTAAATCTTACACATACTTGTATTCCTCCTTTCTTTATCTCTCTAAATTGTATGCTCATTGCAAGGGAGTGTAGAAAGGAAAGATGAACATTAAGTTGAGACATGTTTTTTAGTGCTTTGTTAAATATTAGTGCTGATGGCAATAATTAGTTTTTAAATTATCTTCCAACTGATCTAGATGATTTATTAAATCTTTTTATTTTAGGTGATAAGATAAACAATGGCAGAAGAAAACTGGGCTGCTGATGAAACTGCAGCTGTCACAGGCTCTGCAGTAGCTGTAGCAGAGTTGCCAGAAGTGAAGCTCTTTGGGAAATGGTCAACAGATGATGTGCAAGTCAGCGATATCAGTTTGACTGTAAGTGGTTTGTCAAGATATATAGTAAATATCACAGGTTACAAGTACATCAGAAATCTTCCCCTGTGTCATTTGCACCAGGAGAAAATTAATAACAATGCTGCCACAATCACAAACCTATGTGGTATTATCTACATACACTTTGTAACAAATATAAATATGAATATATATAAAAAATTTTTTTTCAAATTATATCTTTTTGCTGTCTTTATTTTTCCAGTTTGGTTAATTAGTACTTGAATATCATGATTTAATTCATAAATCTTTTAGAAATGTTAAGATCTTTCTAAATAGGAAAAATCATCTGACATTTAACAAATCCAAGTGCATAACCTTGATTTTTCATAATTACTATTATATGATTAATTTAGATTTACCTTTTTTTTTCTTTGTAGGATTACATTGCTGTGAAAGAGAAGTATGCCAAGTATCTACCCCACTCTGCTGGACGTTACCAAGTTAAACGTTTTCGCAAAGCAATGTGTCCAATTGTGGAACGTTTGGCATGCAGTCTTATGATGCATGGACGTAACAATGGCAAAAAGTTGATGGCTGTGAGAATTGTCAAACACAGTTTTGAAATCATCTTTTTGCTGACTGGAGAGGTATGTGCCGTCCATTATTTTTTTTTTTTGAGGCATTTAAAATAAGAATATTTAGGTTGCCTGTGTTTTAAGAAACAGAAACAATGGATTAGGAATGTTTTTAGAGAATGTATTTTACTCCTCTTTTTTGTGAGTAGGTAGTTTTATTTTAAATTACAGTTTTTATTAATTTCAGAATCCACTGCAGATCCTTGTAAATGCCATTATTAACAGTGGACCTCGTGAAGACTCTACCCGTATTGGTCGTGCTGGTACTGTGCGTCGTCAAGCTGTTGATGTGTCCCCACTGAGACGTGTTAACCAGGCTATTTGGCTGCTGTGCACTGGAGCTAGAGAGGCATCATTCAGAAATATCAAGACTATTGCTGAATGTTTAGCTGATGAACTTATTAATGCTGCAAAGGTTAGTTAATAACGTAACATGACTGCTACTGTTTAACTGCCAAGTGGGATTCCGCATGATATAAAATGCTGTTCTGGGAGTGGTGTTACAAAACAAGAATTCTTAAAAAATAGGGAAAACTACAGGAAGTAAACTAAATATTGACATTCAAGTGAACTGCTCTTACTTTAATATATTGTTAAAAGCTTAAAATACAAAAAGTAAAGGATGGCTTGTGGTAAGGTTATCTTCTTTTGGTATTAATTTTACTTCTGTTAAAAAAGTTTCTTTTTACAATTGTAATTTATTTCATTCACTTTCAGGGTTCATCTAATTCCCATGCTATCAAGAAAAAAGACGAGTTGGAGAGAGTCGCCAAATCCAACCGATAATCAGTTATCATTTATTTCAATTGCCAGAGGACACGGTTTATTTCTGTATGACTGCAATGGAAATAAATTCATTATCATATCTCTATGTTCATGGTTTTATTTATAAAGTTCACAATTCTATGAAACATAATTTAAAATAAACTATTTTACTGTTGATTTCAGCTGAAAAATAGTGTTTCTTTTTTCAAACAGAAAATCTAATCACTGAATCTCTTAAAGAAAGTTCATTGCAAAAAATATTTCTGAACCGGTATTACTAAAAGATTCTAAAGTCCTAAAGTATAAAGCAAATTGTTTAATATGTAAGAGTGTCATGCAAAAGTACTGTGCCATGGGTTTAAATTGTTAATGTAAATTCTCTACTCTGTACTAAATACTAAAACAAATATAATGCAGTAATAGAACATCATCAATATTATTAGCATTGATTTGCATTTACAAAGTCAAAGTGACTGGTTGGTAGTAGTAGTAGAGATAATCTGCAACTTCAAAGCTGTGGTCTCAGATTCTGTCCAGATATAAGGTACATACAGACTGGTTGGTAGAGATAATCTGCATCTTCAAAGCCGTGGTCTCAGATTCTGTCCAGATATAAGGTACATACACTATTCTGTCTACCATTTACCAGATAAAGCATTGTAATGTTGAAATAAAGTTTCAACTCAATATTGTAGAAATACCAGTAAGGATTGGTTTCTAATGTAGATTATATTTAAAAAAAAAACCTGTGGTGGTAGGATTTTTCAGTAAAAAACAAATAGTATAAGTATTAATTTCATACCGATTAATAGAAATATTATTATTAATTAGTAATGCTGTACTAATAAAAAAAATACAGCCGTTACTGTTGGTAACAGTGTTCATGTTTCTGGATTGAGACCACGCTACAAATTGCAATGAACTGAGTAAAACCAAATCAGAAAACTAAATATCTCAGTTACGTACCTTAGACGCAATATCTTTTTTAAAAAAATCACTCTTGATTGTGCGTGAAATTATGTAATTTTTTAGCATAATCCAACGATTATAGCAATTACAATTTCAAATATACTATAGGATTGTACGATTAACGCTCATAATCACGGCTTTCAAAAAGTAATAAGCTATATAGGCCTACAGTAATTCACGTCATGGATAGTTACTTTCCAAGAACGGCAGAGCTAGAATCTAGTATTTTTTATAAGGAGCTTGAACCCTCAAGGTTAGATCCATTGCTAGTTTTATAGTTGATTTATCTTTATCTGTTATATCAGTTATCACGTGTGTCAGATAGGCCTAAACACCTACAATCGTGATCACATTCACTGCACTATAGGCATACACTACCGTTACAGGTCGTTTGGGGACATAGGCCTATGCAAATTTAGCTCTGAATAATTATGGCTGTAGTCGATTACAAGTTTTTAAAATTAGAAATCATATTTTTTTATTTATTTCTGTCGCATATTATTCATCAACCTATATCTTTTTGCATATAGTTACAATATTTAATTAACTTAAATGCCTTATTCTACATCCACATAGATCTAACTTTTAAAAAAAACCAATGACTACTCCTTTCATAGGGTATTGATATCGCCCGTACTTAAGTAGGTCACCAAGTCGACGTTGTTACTCCAGGCTGAGCATTACCCAAACATTGCGTTTTCTGAACGACGTTGTATTTTCTGGCTCATTGTGTTTTTGCTGTTTTCTAGCAAGTATGTTGTTATATACATTTTTGTTTGTTATTATTATGTTGATATAACTCACAATTTATTTAGTACAGTAGACCTTAAAACTTAAAGAAAGTCTAGATCTAGAGAAGCATGCTGGATGGCATCATCAAAATAGTCGTAGCGCCATCATAGGTCCTTTGCTCAGCTGATCTTGAATGGATGCTGCTCAGTTTATATTTTATTACTAGAATCTATTACTTGTTTAACATTTACCGTGAAGTTAGTCTACTAATTTAGATCTAGATTAGAATCCAGTAATAATAATGTGTATTAGTACTAGATTACTAGATCTAGCTAGTAGCTACTAATGTAATTAATAATTATTAATTTAATTTTTTAATTAGGCCTATCTTTAGGCCTATCTTTATTCTTTAGTTAGGCTAACTAGTAGAATCTAATCTAGCTAGACAGTAGATGTAGATCTAGATCTAGGCCTATACTACTGAATAAGCTTTATATTGCATATAGATAGATCTAGATCTAATTACTAATTATATATAGTTCATAGATCTATATAGATGTCTAGTCTTATAGTGTATGATTATACTGTTTCTTCCAGACTTTTTTCTCCTATATCAATTCTATTTTGTTTTGGGGGGGGGGGGGGGTTAGACTTTCTTGGAAGTGATGCCTGAAAGAAACTCTGTATACTAATATATAATAAAATGTAAGAAGTAACTTTAGTAACTTAATAATAGTATTTAGTAAAGTAATCATTACTAACGTAAACTTTAGTTAAGTATTTTCACTACTAGTTCGTGTTTGTCAGTACTCAGTAGACTAGTATTAGTATTAGATCTCGATCTAGTAATTTAATTTGTTTATGGCCTACTATTTAAATAATTCTAAACAACTTAAACATACTAAGCTTTTTTTTTAAAAAAAAAAAGATCCCTACCACATATTAGGATAGCAGTTGACAAATCGTTAGGTTACTATACGTATCTAGAGGAAAAAACACCCTCAGCAAGTAAGTACATTTTCCATGGAAAAAATGTTTTCAAATAACAAACTTTTCCCCCTAGTCAAGTATAGTATACATGTCACAAGTGCTTAAGCAGTATGAGAAGGGAACTACCCATTTTTAAAATATATAGTTTATTGACACATGGTGTTTATTTAATTATTTTATTTGTTGTATCTTTTTATACATTAAATTATAATGGATTTTATAAAAAAAATTATTTTCTGTGTTACTGTTTGATTTCCAGAAATGTCAAGCAGCAGTGAACTACCACCTACCTCAGGTTCCTCTGGAAGATCAGTTTTTACTGTGTTTGGATTTAATGGGAACAGATACTCCGACATCGATGACTTTGATAATCCTTTAGAAAATGCACCTGATTCAATCAATGCAGCTGAAAATCCCCTGGCTTTGACCAAAAGAGAAAAAGCGTTAAGGAAAAAGTCTGATACTTCTAATCCGATTCTTTCACCTGAGACAGGTAGGTTTGCTAGATATTTTGAACAATTAATTTTTTTGTCCTTGTAAAAGTAACGATGTTTGGGCAATACAGTTAAGTGAGGAGTTCATTCATCTAGAGAAATGTTTTTTTTTTATAGTCAGAGGTTGAAATATATGCACACAAAAAATAGCTCCCAAAACAGTACTAGTTTTATAAGTAGGACTGCTACTTTTTAAATTAAAAAACATTGTAAAGTATTCATTTTAAATAACAAGATCACATAAATTTTTTATTTCTGTAGAAAATGTAGTTGTATTGCATTGCTAGATGCAGAGTAGATGCTGCTACATTTGTTAAAAGGGACAGATACCAAAGAATTTTTTATATAACCAATTGTTTCATGGTTTTGAGAATTTCACATTTTAAATTTCATTCTGAACATCTTTGATGTGACATAAGTTGCCTTGTTAAATTTTTTTGTAATGTGAAACAAAAAAATCTTGTTTACTGTGGCTCACTAGGCAGTATAAACTTTAACTGCTTCTCAACACTGAGTGAGAGGGGTGCTGAGGTGCCCAGCCCCATCTTGGCTGCGTGTTTCGCTGGTGATGTTGTAGGTGGTGATGGTAAGGTTTTAACACTGTAGTTGTCTCTTTCTCTTATCAGCAGTGTAGGGGATGTAGTGACCTGTGTGACCTTTCACTTTTGTTAATCCTTTCACTACACACTTTATGATTAACTACTGCTGGAATGTCAGCTATTTAGTTACTGAACCATTTTGAAATAATGTGTCAATAGCCTTTAATTTTGTGTGTGTTTCCTTGCTCCTAAATGTTTATTAGATTTGTTTAGATACTTTAAGCTAAAATATTAGACACCTGTAGTTTATTTTATTGTGAAAAAATCCAAGCACTTGTATAATTTCTCAAATTTTCCCTTTTATTTGGGCGTTGACAGGTTTTTAAAAATTCGGGGCCCTTCATAAATGACGTCATAGTTTTGATTGTTTTTATCCATCCAGACTCTTTTTAAAAATTTATGTTTTTTAAAACAGCAGTTTACTGAAGTATTTACTAAGTTTGATTGATCAATCAACTTTTGTTTCAATTTACAAAAAAGCAAAATAATGGCTAAACCTAGTTTTTGTCATAATTTTTTTATTGTAAACATCCCCAATCATCACACATTGGCAAAAAAGTCCAACCTACTCACCCTAAGAGTGAGACGTCAATTGTGTACAAACCCTATATCAAAATATACTTAGAAATAATTTTTTACTTTTTAGATAAATTACTCTAGTATCAAAGGGTTTTTCCTCCATCAAGATTAATTAAAGTGCTTTTAAGATTATTAAATTATTAACTGTTAAAACTCAAGTGTTCAAGAGAAAATAGTAACATAATTAAGGTTACAGCTATTGTAAGCTCTTTGATTAATATACAAGAAGATACTTAAAAACATTATTCTTTCGGGAAGGGTGTGGGTCAAAATTTTGCAGTACATTTTTCTTAGGCTCTCTCTGTCTATAGTTTGGTGTAGCATGCCAATAGAAGAAAAGTTACAACCAACTCAATGTCCATGTGTATAAAATAGATACTCACTTTCTAAACGTCTAAGGTATAATCTCAACTTCTACATATTTTTTCAACAAAAAATAAAAACCTATTTATAATAACAAGCTTAAGTGCACTAAAAATATTTTTAGTAAAAGTACTAAAAGTATTGTTTGCTGAAATTTGTCTGAGATTTCAGACCAAAACAGTTCTAAAAAAAGAAAGTTTGCGTTTATAAAAGTTTGCAATATTTGTTTCATTTTCTACTTTTTAGTAATTATGAATAAATTTAGTTTTCAATTAATTTGACTCCACACAGGACCAAAATATTTGCTTTAAAACCATATCGGTATGAAAATGCCAATTATGTCCCAGTTACTAATGTCTTTGGTTTGCTCATTGAATAACCGCTCACCTGAAAATGAGATAGTCTTGTGTTGTGATCTAAAAGTTATGACAAAATGCATTAGTAGAGTCAAAACTGAGTCGCAAGATTTGACCACAAAGCCACCCACCCACAGACATTGTGTTCAAAGTAAAATCTTGTAAGAGAAGGTTGTACTTTTTAACATTAACAATGTAAACAAGTGTTCCTTACTCTAACCTTTTGGTTTTTCACACTAGTTTAATGCCCCTATTGGTTGACTTAAAGCATGCCAATTAATATAATTAAGTTATTACTTATTTTGTCAGAATATAGTGACAATACAAAATACCATTTCTGATGTTCCTTCAACCTTTAATTTATGATAGGCACAAAGTTTAACAAGTCATTAAAAGGTAACCAATATGTAATTTGTAACTCTAATATTGTGTCACTTTAAACGGTTAAAAAAAGTAGATCAAGTTTAAATAAAGAAAATCTGGGGGGGTTTTCTGGTAACATGCCATAAAACTAAAACTGTCTCAAGGCTAGGATTGACGTCACCCATCCACAAAAATACATTGGTAATCGTTAGGCCTACATAGATAGCTCCTAACAAACATATCTATGCATATGTATAGGCCTCCCAAATATAGCTTGGGGCTACTATAACATTAGAAGGAGTAGTGTAGCTAGATTAAAAATATCAACGATAAAAATAAAATTAAACAACAAATAATTTTAAAGGGGTACTGTATGGAATCGTTATTTTAAAAAGGGTTATCGTTCTTGAGCCCGGTTCTCTACCCTAAGGCTAGAGTATACCACTCTCATAGCCTCAATACTAAAAGTGCGCTGGGTCGACCCATAAGGTGAAATGCACTTTTAACATTCACGTAGCCCGTAAAGTTCGCGAGCTTTGTGTTTTAACATTACCATAAGCCTCACATTGTTGTACGGGGTTTCTGTAACAAAACACTGATGGGAGGTGTTACCACCTTCATGCTCTATTTGGGTAAATATTGGCTTTTTATAGATTAGATGTACTTCTATTAGCATTGTATTTCTGGACGATCAGTTTTGTGCATTTTAAAAGATTTAATCTGATACATAAAAAATAATATTATACGTGATATTCAGCGTTTTCATGTTTCACGATGTATATTATTTAATAATTGAATCTGACATTTAAAGCAAATATGATCCTTGGTGTTTAGTGCATTTTAAATGCCATGTTTCACGGTATTAATAGAGGTTTATCAAGGTCTATGCATAGTTTAGGCGGCTGCTAGGGTAAAGCGATTGTCCGTCCTTAAATGATTCTACGCATGTAGGGGTAAAGGGTGTATGTGTGACTTTGCTATCAAGAAATGTTCCGTGTACGCAAATATTTCATTTAAAAAAATCGATAAAACGTGTTAATTGTAGTAGAACTTAGAATTTGAGTTGGGATACACGTAATTTGATGTTGTCCAGAGGGGGGGGGGGGGGGGGGGGAAGAGGAGGGTAAAAATTAGATAAAATAGCAAAGCGTCATTTATGAACGATGTATTTAGCATATTACTTTTTAAAATAAACATTTATTTAGAATAATAGAAGCATATTGGCAGCATTGTCGTGGTTACATGTTATAACTGCCTTTATATGTATGTGACCTAAGGATTGTGTTTTAAACCATTGTATTTTTAGACTGTATTTTGATCTACCTGGTTGTGTTGCCGTTAGCACAGGTGTAATTAACGTCCCGTTGCATCAATCAATGGTCGGTAATTTTTAATTGTACCCACGAAGGTCGTTGTGTTAGAAGACAGTTTGAGAATCCTTGTTGCAACATCTCGGGCCGCACGCAGGGACGTGGTCAGTATAAATAGGAGAAAACTTTGGTTTGGTTTTAATCTGCTACAGGCTTGTGGGCTATAGTGTAGAACCTTGTTCACGATGGAGTGGGTAAGTGAATCTTTCTGTGGCAGTTGGTTGTGTTGTACATGATTTGTTAGCGTACGTTTTTCTAGTCAAGTGAGGTTTTATCATAGTGGAGTGCACCAGTGAATCTTTCTGCTGCAATTGGTTGTGGTATAGATGAGTTGGTGATTTGTTAGGGTACATTGTATTTATTAAAGCGAAACTTAGTCACTATGGAGTGGGTCAGTGAATCTTTCTGCTGCAGTTAGTTGTGGTGCGTTTAGTTAGTGATTTGTTAGCATACGGTGAATACATTTTTCTTAAGTCAAGTGAAACTTAGTCACAATGGCGAATTACTCTGCATATAAGTAGGTTGTGTGGTTTTGTTAGGGTTAGCGATTTATCAAGAGATTTAACTGAAGTCAAGTTAAATTGGGTAGAGTTACCCGAATTATCATAGGGTATTAGGTCGTGCTCCTGATTTTGGGAGGACGGGAGGGAGGTCTGTCGTCCACGGGTGTTGAACTGGCTGATTTACAGCGGAAGACACACATTAATTATATTGTTATCACTCATCCTAATTAATTAGTTACTAAGTTACGCCCATTTGAATTTTTTTTGTTGGAAATCTTAAACTTTGTAATACATTATTTCTTTATGGTGGTGTTCGTATGCAGGCTATAAGATGTTGTTCTCCACTTCTCGCCTGTAATATTTATTATATTTTTAAGCCATTAGATGCGTAGTTTAAAAAAAAAAAAATTCAATCTCCAATATCAAGGCCGGCAACTCGATGTGATTATGCTTCTGTGTTTACCGTGTCTCTGAATAATCGGGGTTCTAAAACGTATGTCTTGACTGACCAACCTCTGTTCTCTAACAATAACGCCAATTGTTTCATGCATTGCCAGAGACATTATCCCCCACTCCGTGAAATATAAAATACAACCCAGCTCGGGTTACCCTCTCGGCACTACCCCCTGGTGTGACGGGCGCCCCAGCCAAGTACCACCAGGTGTAGAGTCTTTTCTACACCCCCCCCCCGTGTAATCTGGTGTGATCACGTGGTGCCGTCACCTGGCCTTGGCGTCAGCACCATTTTTCTCTCGGCCCTAGAACTCGTGGTTAAACCATGCGTGATGATAAGACATTTCAGGACATCACGTGATATTCAGATACTCGATGGAAAAATAAAATGTTTTTTATGACTTACATTTTAGACACGCGTATACAGCATATTTATCAGTTTAAATGAGGTTTTGAAAAAAACGATTGTTCACTTCAGACAATTTATTCATTTATTGGGTTATTTACAAAACGCATACAATATTATTGTTACGTCTCCGTAACATGTTAAGTAAATATAGCAAAATTGGCTAGTTACAATAGCTAATGTAACAATTATTATGCATGCAATTTTAAAACGCTTTTCATCACTGATATACCTACTATGATTCTGTAGTTTCTTATTTCTACTAGACATTTAATTATAGGTAGCTCATAAAACAAAACGAGAGTGTATTTGTAAATTTCCTATCCAGCGAGTACTTCAAAATGTTGTTAGCATTGATTTAGTGTAAGACGCAGATACCTTACTAACCAGGGTAGTAGATAACGGTGAGGCTGTTACAGTACAGGGTAAAAGCTAAACACAGGCTAGACCCACTCCCTTCAAAACGCAGTTGACTGCTCTGATTTTCGGCCACAAACCATGCTTGAGATGTATTTTCCCCCACACTAAACTCTTTTAAAATGTTTTATCTTGCCTTGTTAACAGAGAAGTTGTTCTGTCTGTGCCAGTGACCTC